CCGAATGTAGTATATACCTCAGCGTCCGCAACAAATCCCGCACTTTCGCCGATCTGCTGCGTGCTTCCTGAAACCAGCGTCTACATGGGGTTTAGCTAGTTCTGATGTGTAATTTCCCCGCTGATGTGTATTCTCCCAAAACCAGCGTCTGCCGACATTGATGTGTATTCTCACCAGCTGATGTGAGATAACCCCAACGCAAGTAGTACCTTAAACAATAGGATCCTTAATATAAGGGCCCAAAAGAAGGCACCCCTAATTTTCGGAAACTCCCTATCCATCTTACCATTCGTCGCCGAAGGTTGGCTTTCCAAGCAATGACATTTGTCAACTTGCAGCGGCCTCATGGGAATCTTAGGGTTTAGGGTTTAGGGTCTAATCTTTCTTGGGCGGGTTTCCGGCTTCATGAGCCCGAGGCCACGGGATGATTTCGGATGCCAGCGGGTTCTACACTTCCTGACTCGCGTTCCTTTGGTCTTTCTTGCATGGACAAGATCTCTTGTCGGTGCATCTATGGTGTATATTTGCACGCCTCTGCCGTGATGTCGCAGCTCGTCTTGCAAACGGGTCCTTCGCCATGCCTCGTATGCAAATCTAAGCAGGTTTTCATGGGTACAGCAGCCTTCCCGGTTAGTCCCCGCAACTTGCGCCCCCCAAAACGGGCTTCCCATACCCATCTCTGAAACCTCAAGCTTCCTGCATTTTTGTGGTATTCTTGCAGCACGTACATGGGCGCCTTCATGGGGTGCTGTCCGACTGCTGCGGCCAGCAACCGAGTGAGTGCAGACAGCTTTTCGTCGGATGCAGTGATCTACGCGCGGGACGACCACACCAGCACGTTTCAGCAGGTCAGGCTAGCGCGGGATCTTCATAAATTTGCAGGTGGTACACTTTGGCTGGAGTTTGTCTACGAGGACATCCTGGAGGAGGTGAGGAAGGCGTTTGCTACCCAAAACACCGAGGACGATGCTGAAGCACTGGATGCTGTGCTCGCGTCCATTAAGCACAACGGCTGGTCCGTCGAGTTTAATAAGTCCCTCGTGAACTTGCTGGTCGTTGCACGGAAGCATGGCATGACATTTCATGCCTTGGATGACCCCGAGTGGTCCAAAGATGCCTTCATCGCGAAGTACGGAAGCAATCTGGGTGGCATGCGCTATTTGGCCACTGCGGCTTTCAGAGTTAAAATTGTGTTTTCTGTTCTTCTTAGTAGCCCCCATTGGCTACGAACAGCAATGTGCAACAGCACCACGATGACAAGTAAACGCACTCCCACCCGCACAAACAAGCCCTCATGGGCATCTCGGGGCCGTGTCACGGTTTTGGTCCATGGTTGACACGGAAATGTAAAACTACAATAATTATGAGTAGATGCAAGCAAAAAACAATACTACGGTACATGCGTATACGTACGTGCATAACATATGCACATGTGTATATGTACATACAGGTATTCACACATACATACATATTCATACATACATGCATACATACGTACATATACATATATACTGTATCCGTGTATGCATTGTTTACCTGTTTTCTTTTGATGACGAGTCCAGCCTGTGGATCTCGACACGACAAAACAGCCTCAAGCCTTTCCGCACACTTGTCGCCTGAAGCGGGCATGCTGGAGCCAGTAAGGCCAATCGAGCATCACATCTTGACGACCATGAGGGAGCTACTTCAAGATGGTGTGACAAGATTGTGAAGATGAGGCCGGTTGCTCGAAGTTTCGGGCTAGGCAAAGTACGGCCCATGCGGAAGACTAGACACCACTTGCTCCGCTCCATCATATGAGGGCCCGCATGTCGGCGGGCAGTTTTAAACTACAACCCATGCTATCTAAACCAAAGAGAATTGAGAAGAAGGCCGCCCCAAAATATGCAGGTCCCAGCAGTCAGGACCCATTGTCATTCTGGGTGGTGCAGAACACGGGCCACCCCTCGTTGAGTTCATGAAGGCACGAATCAATGCTGAAGTGCGCTTCATGTGGCTTGGCCTACCACAGGTTTTCCTTACGGTTTTCGTTGGGGTGGTGCTCCACTATTCAAGTGCATTGATATACTGGCCCTATGTTCATGCACAGGTACACTGATTTTGAAGAAGCACATTGAAAGCAGACCTGAGACATCTACCTTTGCATCCTGGAGCCTTGGATGCATTATCCATGTTCTCCTTAGGTTCTAAAGTCCGAGCTTTGGAACCTGTAGTGCTTCAGATTGGCAGAGGGTTTGGGATGCAGGGTTTCGGTTTGAGTGAGCCTTGCAGATCAAAGATGTAAATGGAAAACCTAAAAATCGGAAGCACAAAGCGCCCGTGTTCATAGGTTCTTGTGTGCAAGCAGGACAGGATGCGCAGTGAGCGTATGCTTCAGTATATTGCGTGTACATGAAGAGTCGCATCAATTACGTTGGTAACAAAGCATTTGTGTAGCGTATTATCTACTATATACATATGTATATATATATATATATATAAATAAATATATATATATATATACAGAGAGAGAGAGAGAGAGACGTACGCAAGCCTGGTAACAATCAGAACCAATTCTGAAGCTCGGGTGTCCATGCTTGTATCATGAATCCCAGGAGCTCACTTCCCAAGGCCTTGGAAGCAACCAACTCTATGTTTCAGTGTGAAGAATGTCGAAGGTCATAGCCGAAAGAAGAGCCCGAAACTGCTCCGTATCATGTTTACCTGCTTTTGTTGTCAATGGCTCTCCTTGATAGACTTTTCTTGCTTCGGATTCTTGGTGGTCTAGAGCTACAGCTTTTCACTTCAAGGTTGGTTCCATGTTGATTGCGAGGACCTTCGGACCAACCTGCTGGTTCTACGGTCTGCTTGTCCACGTCACCTGATGTTGGGGCAGGGCGAGGTCACCAGATTGTGTAGCTTTTCCCTTGTCTTCCAGTTGGGTCAGACTGCGTTCCAGCGCGGTCTGGCCATAGTTTGCTCGGAGCCGGTGAACAACACTGGCTGACACTAGCACCGCCTTTTCCGCAGACTTAACCGATGCTAAGGATGTAGAACAATGTAGGAGTACGGCTACGTCCCTCCTTGGACAGAACGTTTCGTGCAGCACCCACAGTCTTTATAGAAGGGCCTGAGACCATTCACATTTTGAAGCCAGTCGCACAAAGTACGGTCCTACAGAGTAGCTTCGGCGCAACTTCATCCTTTCGCAGAGCTTGCGGTCCATGCGTCGAAGCTTCCGTTTTGACACCGCTGGTTTTAAAGGCTGTGAGCACATCGGTCATCGTGTGGAGCTTTCGTTATGTTCCAGTTTCACTTGCCCGTGACCACGTGATGCACCATGCTTTAGCAGGTGTGGGAGAAATAGGCAATGCCAAGGCCGTCCAGGGTTTCATCGGCAGCAGCAAGCGTCCCATTGCCGTCACCGGAGAGCTCTAATGTACTGTAGTGATGTGTTATAATGATAGTATGCCCATGGGCATAGGTCGAGGTTTCGGGTATACGGTCCTGTTCTTCGCTTTCGGAGCCGCGCTATGGTTGCACATATACGTTAAGAAGCCGCGCCGTCTTCATGATCGTTGTGATTTTCCACACGATGCAGCCGTAAACGAGAGTAACAACAGTAAGTGCCTTGAAGGTGAGTATGCACACATGAATGCATGCATGCACACACACACATGTATTTACGTATGTATGTATGCAGGCATGCATGCATGCATGCATGCGTGCAAGTATATAAGTACGTATGTTTGGATGTCTAGACACGGAATGATTTGTTGGTATCATGATTAGCCAACAATTGTTCTTCATGTCTGTTCTATGTGTACACACACACATGTCATGCACACAGCTGTTTACATGCTTCAGCCCGCTCCACTCAAAAAACAAAGTTATGCCTTCCATGAGCTTTAACTGCTACCGATTCGCTCCTTTTGACTCATGCTCATTCTACGTTCCATTGCCTGCCACATATATCAAAGTTCGAGTGAAACCCGACGTCAGATCAAAGCAAGTCGCACTCTCAGTTTTTTACTAAACACACGTCCATGTGCCCAGAGACCCACGGCCTCCGAACTACTAGTATGAGTACTGACATAGGGCTGATTGGAATGGACCCTAGATCCCTCACTAGTAGCAAGCAGGGCTAAACATACTGGTGCCAAGTAGTGCTCCCAACCCCGCTGAATCTTTTCAAGTAATCCCTCCCAGCAACACTCCACTGCCTTTAATCCTTTCCAATTAACTTCTTCTCAGCAACGTGCAAGAATGAAGTATACCAGCTGCTCGCGAAAGAAGCGACCCACTCTCAGTTTCCAACCCCGACTTCGTGGTGACCTGGTGGCTATGCAAGGCGTGCCTACTGCAAGCGTCTGTGGTCCGCTTTGAATTTTGCATAGGTCCAGGGTCAGGTCCAGGTGGAAATGCTGCCTAAATCCCAACCCTGTGAACATCTCCACGCGAAGCACCAGTGCTTGGAGGCAAGGGGCTGCCGTGGGACTAGGCTTTCAGAACGCCGGTGTGTGGCACATTTCTATTTGCTACACCCTCGATGCCTCACCTGTCCATGACATGGCACTCTTCACATTCACCAGCCCGAAGCCGTGCCTTCAATCCTGTGACCTCTTCTAGTCACGACGTTCAGCAGCCTTCCTTACGGTTTGCAGGCTCAAAGAAACCCAAGGCCTTTTACCCGGAATCCGGAGCCTCGCCTCGCCTGGAGCCTTCCGAGCGCCAATCCAAACCCCATAAGCACCAAGGCCAACAAATTGGCTGGTCGATATATTCTTGCAGAACCACACAGACGAACAGTTCCGCTTTTACATGTGTAGGTGGGTATACACTGTGAGTGCAAGGCGGCAAGTGGGGCAAGATTGGTGCTGGACCGCCGAAGTACCATCTTCCAACAGGCCGGTATGGCAGAAGGTCAGACGTTCCGGGTTCATATAATACATACACATATGTATGTATGTATGTATATGTATATGTATATACATACACACACACACACACACATATATATATATATATATGTCAGTGTGTGTGTGTGTGTGCGCACACGCTTTCTGTGAGCAGGTTTCCCGTAGCTCGTGCGATATTGTGTTGTGCACAACGGTCAGGTTTACCGGTCTAGCGTCAGAGATCTGGGAGAAAGTTTTCTGATCCGGCCACCACCTCCTTGAAATGCTTTGACTAGGACTTAGGACAGCATGCAGAGGGGGGGGACAGGGCGAAGGAATGTGAAGTCGCGGCATGGCAGCTCGGCCTGCAAGAGCTCCATGATGATGACAAAGATGATGTGAATGATCGCTTCTATCTTGCATTGTTCTGCTGTCATGTTTGTTGCTTCTTGCCGGGAAAATCATGAAGACATAAAGCATTGATCCGTTGATAATAACATTTGCACGGAGGTGGTCCTAACATCACCAAGACAGAGGACATCCTCGCAATCCGGATGCAGCCGGCCAAGCTTGGCCAGTCTGTTTCCATCAATGTGCGGGGTGCAGGTGCAAGAGCTTGAGGATCCAGGGACGCAGGGTGTAAGCCGTACGCCCGTCTTACAAAGTTACAGTTGCCCGAACCTCCAGCATTGGACCGTCCATCCGCTTGAACCCGCCTGAACTTGCACATGCATGGTAGGCAGTTGGCTGTGAACTTGTTGAGGCATGTTGAGAGCACGTCTCTGCAGCCCCGACTGCAGGTTTTCCAAATGTCACAGGAAATGGTGTCCACTAGTCGATTTAGTTTATCGAATAGACAACCAAAGTTGTCTGTAGCTGCTCTATAGGCCATGTAGTCCCCACGACCCTACCCGAAGCTGACTGACATGCTCGTCCAGTTTTGCCGGGTTTCGAGGGGTTGGGAGATCCTGGGGTACAGGTGTTTGCAAGTCTGTGCTGCGCTTCTGCTGCGTGTCTGTGTTCCTGTATGCACGTATGTATGTAGGTAGGTAGGTAGGTAGGTAGGAAGGAAGGAAGGAAGGAAGGTAGGTATATAGATCTGTAAGTATGTAGCTCTGTCTCTGTATGTTTGTATGTATGTGGACATGTATACGTACAGGTGCCTGTACATGTACATGTATGCATATGTTTGTCTGTGTCTATGTGTGTAGGGAGAAACTCTAAGCACATAAATATGAATAAGAATACCTATGGAAATGACTGACTAAAGCAAATAAATTAGAGTGTATATATATATATATATGTATGTATGTTTTTATGTTTATATCTATGCGCGTATGTGCACATGTATATATATATATATGTATGCTTGTATGTATGGAAGTATGTGTGTCTTCATGTACGTATGTTTGTAGCCATGATGTGTTCATGTAATTACATATGTGCGAGATAACCGCTGTAGCTCTCTAGGACCGTATGCATGCAACTCTGCACGAGTGCAGATATTGGACGATACAGAAATGCACTCCTGATGCCAGAACCGCAAGCACTTTGATGGAACGGCATAGGAAAATGACACTATTGTTGTTATTGCATTTGGTAATCATGAAAGCAGACAAATGGTGGCAAGCAGCTGGCAAGGCTGGAGTCATGTCTGATGTGGGATCTGAAGCCCAGAGCGATTGGAACGCGCCTCACAGAAGACATCCATACCCAGGCCGTACCACTTTGATGATGCACCGGAAGCGCCCGAGTGGGTACAAAAGTGCGCACTGCGCTCGGTTCAGGGTTTACGGTAAACGCTTCGTGTCGTCCGTCTCTGTGGCAGATTGTGACAGCACTGCGAACATTCGTTAACTTGCACGTCGCGACAGACTTGGTCTGCATAATAGACAAGAGCTTGTTTACCAACTGTCTTTGAGGGATCCTGAAGTCTTAAATTGGGGCATGGGATGGCGACAGCACCAAGGTGAAGACGCTGTCAAGCAGCAGATCAGACGTAGAGGCTGGCGCTTCATTAGATGTCCGGCTTCAAGCAGGTTGGGGTTCAGCAGTGTTTTGAAGGAGCAAAGGGAGTGTTTTAAAGGGATTTAGTCTTGATCTGATCCCATGTGGGCACCTTGGGAATTGCAGACTTGTTTCCTCCATGTCAATGCCAGGCCAGGAGAGCAGCCAGCGCTGAGCTGCAAGAGAAGCTTATGGAACCGCCAGCCCCTCAGGGAATGCTACGCAGAGAGCCCTTTCGGGCTTTCTGGTTTCTTCGGGCCTCGAGGTTGTTATGGGCTTCTGTTCTGTGGTGCTGGCACATGTGCAATCATCCTTGACCACGTTGGTCAGTGACAGTGCCAAAACCGACACGTGAAAACACGCTCAATTTCCCAATCTTGAGGCATTGGGATGCTTGAGCCTGTTCGGGGTTGGGGGTGTTTGCCAACTTTCAGCGTGATGCCCACCGGCTGGCTGTTTGTGTCCGTGCTCGGATTGCAAGTGGCTTTCTCGAAGCTCCGACACGTGTTAAGCATTGTATCGAACGCCTATATTCTCGCTGAAGCAGCCTGACACACAACCTTTGGGTTTTCTAGCATCGAAGGCCCCAGCACCCGGCAGTCATACTCAGAATACAGCCAAACTACTCACTCTGTTACTACTTCTGCTACCACTAGTCCTGCTGCTGCGAGTAGTATTTGTATCAGCACCAGAAATCGCATGATAGGAAATAACCATGATCGACATAATCATGCTCACTAAGACCCCAGGCTCCAGTCTCGACTGATGCTCTCGCTCGTCGACGCTCTTTACGACGAGGTTCGGAGCAGTCTGGGGTTGGGGGTCAGTTCACAAGGGTTTAGGGTTTTGAGATCCAGTGCGCAAACATGGATCGCCAGGAAAAAGAAACGGGCTTCATGTCTTCGGGTTTGGGGTTTAGGGTTTTCATTTACACTTCTCTACGTTACATGTTTCTCATCATATATCCCGACATGACCTTCTCCCACTGCGAATGCTTTTGGCATCCCTCTAGTCCTTTGGCTCCTCCGAGCGGCAGCCTTCCCAGCTTAGATCTGCGAAGGAGGGGGGAACCCCAAGACTTTAAGAAGCGGAGTGCCTTCGAGATGTTATGAAAAGGTCTGAAGGCGACTTGAAAATTCTACACCAAAAACCCAAATGCAGCAATCGTAAGTGCAAGCCACCAAAAGCGACAGAATTCCCGCGCAAACAGAAGACTACTTGCCAGGACCTCGAAGTCAGACTGACTATAGCGAAGCTGGACGTGGGAATGGATAGGGTCATTGCCAATCTATGACTACTGCTGCTACTACTATTACGACTACTGCTGCTAGTACTTCCACTACTACCACTACTA